GCAAGTAATTTGCCACTTGAAAACGTTGTTGTTCTGCAATTACAAAAACACATTGATCAAACCTCTCGCTTGAAATCAAGAGAAATTAAAACATATAAAAAGAATGCCACTCTGCGAGGTCCCAAACAGAGGCAACTTTTCAAATCGTTTGTCACTCCGCGGCTTCCAGAATGTCCTGGAAACGACTTAATCCTGAAACCTGCAAACGTGTAGGAAGTTATGTTCATGATGGTACAGAGCGCCTTTAAAAATGCTTCATAGTTGACCACTGCACCATTCAAACATTCTAGTTTTCTCAACTGCCTACCACCATAGTTGGTGGACTAATTACGCTACAACTGCTACAAAAAGAGTACGGCTTTCGACTCTAGCTGTTGTTTGCAAATACTTTAGTCATCGCCTCAGTCATGACCATTGTAAACGGCGGAGCTTCATAAAAAAGCGAAATTTTAAAGATTTTTGCCTACCCTGGTAAATCATTGATTATTGTTTGAAACTACACACGCGTTCAGACTGTTGATGAACGCGCCAAGTTTTTTCTTGTTCACTTTTCGCACTCCTCCCGCTACATCACCCGTCCTCTTAAAATGCTGGAAACTGAGAAACTGTAGCTTCTCGCAATGTTTCACAATAATCTGCAGCGCCACCATTGTGTTCCGCGCGTCCTGGATGATCCCTAAGTGCACATGCGTCAACTCAGGGGTACCGCTGACCATGCTTTCGATGCCATAGAAGGTAATACCCGAGACGTCCTTGAGGTTGATGGCTCGTAAGGCGTGACAGTAGTGCCCAAGACTCGCCAAACTTTTATCCGAAACTCTACCGCAACCAGCGATGTTCAGACTTTGCAGACTCGTGCATTTCTGTGCAACGAACTGCATTCCTTTGTCACTGACTTTCTGGCAACGCGCAACGGAGAGAACTGTCAGTTCGCAGCAACGTCTCGCGATGTATTTGATGCCTTTGTCACTTATGCCATCACATTTATCCACGTTCAGTTCTTTCAGGAGAGCACAATTTCTGGCGATTAGACTGAGCCCGCGGTCTGATACTTTACCTCGTCCAGCGACGTTCAGTCTTTGTAAGCGCTGGCATGAGCGTGCCACGTGACCAAGAGCCTCGTCAGTGATTGGCTCACAGTGGTCACCTGACAGATCAATGCTTTGGATTCCCATTGAGTATGACGTCACAGCTCTTACGGTCTCGTCCGTCAGTTGCTGTGAAGCGCTACAAAACGAGAAGTCGATTTCGCGCCAAAATAAAGAATCTTTGCAAAGATTGTTCCATCGCTGACAAACGTAAGAGACTTGAATTCTTTCTTGCAGCGACAGAAAGGAAAATATGCGAAGCCAGATGTTGTCAGGAAGAAGCCATTGCGCTTCTGAGGGAACTTTGTAAAGGTCCAGATCGGACAGTGCTCTAGCACAGCGACATAAAAACACTGTCTCTTGTGGTTTTAGCCTAAAAAAGAATTAAAGTTATTCAAAAGTTGCTTGTATGATTTGAACGCTTCTTACAGATTTTATGTTACCAAGTATCGGCTTGATTACACCGCAAACAAAATTACAGGCACAATGCTCGATGGCTCGAAGTAACAGGAACGTCTATCATCAGTTTTCGCTTCTAGCCCAAAGTTATTTTAATTCGCCGCTTACAATAAACAAATCAACGTCAGCACATATGCATGTTTTAATCACTAACAGATCCCAGTGTTAGTTTATGCAAAAACTTCGAAAGAGATGAATCCTTTTTCTTCCAAGTTAGGATTCGTATTGAATTAATTATCATACAATCATACATTTTTTGATGGGATATCAAAGTTTATCGCCTATTTATTGNGTTTGGCAAATTAACACTGACTGAGTGATCAAGCCGCTTGATCAGGTGTTTAAAGAGAACTGGAGAAAGTTGTAATCCTTCCTCAGCGATCGAAAAAGGTTTGCCTCATGGACGACATTTCCCCTTCAACGGTTTCCTTTCGTATGTCGGCGAAATCTATGTAGGAATAGTCACATTTCGCAACCGTTTCGAAAGTGTGTCTTATAAAACAATTCCTCTCAGATAAGCAAGTAAATACAAAGAAGCAGTGATAAAAAGTTTTACAATATACACCTACTTTTGAATTCCAACACAGGCAAAAAGCGAAGCCATACCCCAGGCAAACGTTAATAGCACTAACTTCTTTGGCGACCTCTGAGCACCGTCGGAAGTGGATCTGTCTTGCAAATTCTACACTGATGTATGTTTCAATGTGTTCTATCTGCTGATATTAGATTTCTTTTTTCAGCCTCTCACTATTGTTATTCGATAAGTTTCATAACTTTGGGTAATTCAGGAACTTACTGAATAGTGACATCTTTTTTCTCAGTTATCCCTTGATTCGACCGTGTAAATCGTTTCATTTCATGAGCTGAATTGGACGACCGATGACAGATGGCACAAATTATATGCCAAGACAATTGCCAAATTTTCACCTTTGCATACCTTTCGTTCAGAAGTCGTGTTTATTGAAATACTCCTTAAATTGCTTGCTATCTTAGATGCCCAAAGATATTTATGGCGTCTTTGTTTACTCTTGACCTTTTTGTAAGTAAATCTCCCAAACAAGGATAGTCTATGTAACTTGATTGAAGCTTTCAAAGCTCAAATTGAATACATTTTTATAGACGTATTGACCGGTGCTTGGGTTTGTAGGCTTTTCATTTACGGACGTCTGTGTAAGCATACTTGTTCACATCGAAACATTAAGGGAATTCCTTCAGTTTAAGACGCCGTTTTATTTCATAAAAATGTTCAACGTCCTGGATCTAATTTTATTTAACTGCAAACAACAGGAAATAATGGGAACCTTGTCACAACATGTAGTTATCATTAACCGTTTTGTTTTCGGTGTGCCGTTGAACTTCCTTTAAGTTTCCTCAACATTTCAACCCTAACTTAGATAAAATTATTTTAATACCACAGTCTGAGCAGAAAATATATTTCCCGATGGCATAAGGAATATGTCATTAAGAGCGATATATACCTTATTTTAGAAACCTGTCAGGGTGCCTCACTTGATTTGGATAACTCTATACTGGGGTATATACGAGGTCGATAAGGGCTGGAATCAGTCCCAAGGCAATCCTTTTGCCGCCTTGGGTTTTGTTGCAGCACGCATAACCGTGAATTGATTTAGAAGTAAGTACCAAAGTCATTCTTGCTAATTTTGAAATTCATTAGTATAAAATAGAGTTTCAATTATTTGTCGTTGTTTTAGCAAAAATTCCATGACCATTCAAGAATTTACAACTGGCTTTAATAGACTGAAGATAAACTAATGTCAGATTTACTGATTAATTAATGATACAATCGTTTCGGAACCTTGTTGTAATAACGTTCAGATTTGCTCATTTTGAAAAGCAGCCATATGGCGTTTTCATAACATTGCTTAATTCAGTACAAGTGTCCAGAGAAAAAACAGCTGCAGTTTTCACTCTTACAAACCATCAAAAGGATCCATAGAGTTGATTATTTTGTTTTCGCCACTTTCAATACCCGGATGGTGTGATTTGTAGAGATCTCTGTAGATAACCCTTTTTAATTAGCAACACATTTTAACATTTTTTCGTCCAAGCTCACATCAGTTGAAAATAACAGTATCTTTAATTAACTTTAATTTGGAATTCAAAGAACTACCGAGTTTCACTGAGATCACCAGACATGACTTTCAGGTACTGGAAAGGTAAAAAACGCAAAACCAGAATTCATGCAGCAAATCTGGTGGTTCATTCTTACATATACGGCGGTCTAAAAGCAATCACGTACAAATTGGAAAAGAATTTGAAAACCAAAAACATGTTACACAGGTGGGAGTAATATTTTATACATCAATTCAGTTTTTTGGGGCAGTGTTGAATGCATCTCTTCTATTTTAGTTGTAATCCTGAGATTGTGATTTCTTATCAACGTGCGTTCTTTCCTTACAGTTGTGCCTTTGTTTGACGTGCGAGAGTGCTCAAAGTGTCGATCATCTTCTAAAACAATTATATGATATGACTGTTTTGAAATGGGTTGACTGTTGACCTCTTTGGAGGTGATTTTGTAATGATCTGCTCTTAATGGTGTTCTGTGCGTTCATTTTGGGGGTACTGCATTACTCCAGATATATCATAACCACCATGCAAGTGAAAATAAAAAAAAATCACAAATTCCAAGAATTATTTTCTTGTTTATCTCTTACTACACAGTGTATGCTATCCATTGCAAAGGAAAATCAGTTCTAAAATCAGAGAGGGATCCTCTTGTCTCTATTGACACGAAATGTAATGTTCTTTGTTTGCGTGTTTGAAGTTGGGTGTTTTTTTTTTGTTGATTTTCACTGGTTAATAAAACATTCAGCACAAGCATACTGACTGGACTGGAAAAAAAACAACAAAAA